TAAGATAGTTCTAAGATATAAGATCCTAGAGGGAGTTCAGAACAACTTCACTCGTAAATTAATGCTTCGCTGCCTACGTGCAAAATATTCCGATATTCCTCATGGTACTGAACGAAATAAACTTTTCTGTTTAAAATCTCTTAAGTGGAGGCGAAAGAAATTTGATCTCCTTATGGCGTATAAAATTCTAAATGGTCTGACTAAAATGGATGCCTCTAAGTTTTTCGTGATTGTTCATTCTATACGAGAGGTAGCTCTCCGCAAACAATTTCAACTTGCTTCACTCGTCCAGGTTAGTTACGTTTTCAAGTAAATAGAACTTGCACGCCTTTCAATGCTCTTCTCGTCGCAATCTTATTCCTTCAAACTATAATGTGTTTAAAAGATCACTGGATAAGTACATCTGATCTGTCCTTGGTCTCCAGTTGTATTTTATTTTATTTTATTTTGTTCTATACGTTCGTGTTGATGTTGAATAGTTTTGTAGTGTATTGTTACTAACTTAATTGTTCCACATGCCTACTGGCATGTCCGTTAATAAATAATGAGGGGACAAAAAAGGGTTGCGTCATAGGACCTGGCATACCTCTGTGTTTCTACCTGCCAGACAGTTAGAGCAGCGCTACTACCCTCCACTGATGAAGCACTCTTTCCCCTGAGGGGTCGCGCTGCTCTAACTGTCTGGCAGGTAGAAACACAGAGGTATGCGAGGTCCTGTGACGCAACCCTTTCCCCCCAGAGGATTGAATCAGAGTAGGGGGATATGTTCCCCTGGGGAAGGATTGAATACCGCCCCTGTTCCCGCAGCTGTGACGTCATCCGCACGCGCTCGCGTCCGCGCCACCGGCGAACTTTTCTCTCCCCCAGCCTCCCCCCCGCGAACAGGGTGAACCGTAACGTTCGAACATTTTCGAGATTTTTGCGACCCCCCTCCCTCTCGAGAGGTCCGTTTGCGCACAACGGAGAGCACCTCCCCCAATCACACCAGCCTTCCATGAACATCTCCTTTCTTATAGTATTGATTCTGAGAACAGTTGACAACCCCCTACGCGCGGAGAGGGGCATATACACCAGTGAAACGGCTAACAGTTTTTCGCACGCCACACTCTGCGCGCTGCGCCCGCTGATCACCAAAGTGCCCAATGCGACCCTCTCCCCTATAGATACACCAATGCGACGCACCCCGTTCCGAATCAGTTCGATGGCAAATTGGCCGTTTCAGTGCGCAATGGCGCACAGTATAAAATGAGGAGGCGCTCATCTAGTAAGGGGAGCATCAAGTGGCTGCCCTCACGCCCCACCCCCCTAGACTTCCTACACTCCCCCTGGCGCACAGGTTTCTCGAAGTACGGGACCCCGTGAGCCAGGGGGAGTGAAGCCAGTTCAGGGGGAGTGAGGGCAGTTATTAGACGTTGCATCACAATGCCCCCCCCCTTACCGGATGAGCGCCAAAATGAGTGTCATATTCAAAATCAGAGCATCGAATTACCCCAATATGCAAAGTTTCGACGAAAAATAAAATTTTGAGATTTTGGGGCGGTAAATAGTGGAATATGATGCCCGTGTTAATAACTTCGTATAGCATACAATTATACGAAGTTATGAAAGTCTTGTGCATGTTGAGGCGTGAAAATATGGCGGGGCCGTGTGCAGAGCTTTGGGCACACAGAATTTTTATTTCACGTCGATTTCCTCATACGTGCGCAGGGGTGTATGTCAAGTGGCGCGGCCACATTGCCATTGGGGCGCATGGGCTGTAATTGCCAGCTAGGCGCCGCCTATATTTTGGGCCGGATAACTCGTCCGGCTCATCCAACGCCGCGACCTTCTAATTGATCGGCCCAGCCAACGTCGCGACCTCCTGATTGATCGGCCTACATTGGAGCGCGTCAGTGGAGACGCCGAATTGCGGACATTGCCTCAACCGTCCTTTCACCCCTTTCCCGTCTACTCCATTCCGACCTTTCACCCTTTCCCTTCTACTCCATTCATTCCTCATTCTCTAGGAAGCTTCACATTCTTCTCAGAGCTTCAATTTGCTGCTAGCTACTAGGAGTGACTGTATCACAATCTTTTTGGAATTGTGATACTTTCTACTTCAGTGAAGCTTGCACATAACTGGAGTTAAAATAATGGAACGTCGTGCTTCCCTGTATTAACGGTTGTTCGTTGCATTGTTGGTCGGTCTCTAGGTTTATGCTATATCAGACAAGTGACCTGATTTGGGAGGGGGGGGGGGGAGAGAGAGGCATCGCCCAGAGGCATCAGAACCACGACAAACATTCATTCTCATACTCCAGACCTTCATGTTTCTGATGAGCCGCGCAACACCATAGTGTTCAGTCATACTGAAAGCATGTTTCTCATGTGGCGCATGCTCACCCCCTCCCGTCTGGGGCCGCGGTTATTTACTTGAACCAACGTTCTGCACAACCAACTGAAGCAACTGTCGCATCTGTTCTTATAAGGTGGGGCGTTTCGGTGCATGAACCACTCTAGTCCTACTTTGCTCAAACGGTCTTCAAGAGTTTTGAACTGCTAGTGTCTTTTTTTTTTCGTACGCCATTTTCTGAACATTGTTTATTGTCTATCAAACCAGAATTGGGGAACTCTGGAGGGAATTGGAAATTATCTCCCCCAGAGGCTCAGTCCGGGAAGTCGCTTTGACAGAAAGCGAATTCCTCGCCTGTGCACCACAATGCCGTTACCTTGTTGGAAAAGAACCCAAACGTCTTTCGATAGTGGGCTTTTTCACTAATCGAATAGCACACCATCGTTGTTTGGTCGCAGACTGGCTTGCATGTGATGTGAAATGAAACTGAAATAAAAAAACCGATAGAAAAAGAATACGCTACCGATAGAGTAGTGTAGGAAATCGGTTTTTCATGATTTATTACAAACCATTGCACAGGTTTTGTGCAACAAATTTTTGCGGGAGCTTTGGATTTGCTAGTTCATAATATCGCGTTGGTCAACATCTATGTGCTTATATTATGACTCGTTGCTTAAAGATTGTATAACACTCGCTGATTCTATTATGAGAGGTGGGTTCGATGTTCGATGAAGTATGAGTCATTCCCGCTGTTCTCAATAACGCTATTGCTGATATCCAGCGATGTATGCTGGAAGCAACTTATCCACGCAACCTCTATCAAATGCACGCCACATCCGGTGCCACACCTACCCCAACTATCAGATATCGAGTATACATTCAGTCCAAATAGTACTTATCACAAAGCGACGGGCCGTTAAGTTTATGAAGTTTCGGTGCTATACAGGTAGGGTGAGCAAGAGCCCGCTAAGATACTGTCACGAAAACCGAAGAATTCGTGAGCCAGGAGGAGTGTAGCCAATCTAGGGGGTTGGGGGAAGTGAGGGCAGTCACTTAACATGCGTGAAAACTTGGGCATGCCTACCCCACTTGTATAGAGCCGAAGTTTCCCATCGAAGCTGGGCCAGTTTCCTACTTGAAGATAATAGCGAGGCAAGAAACCCAACGTTCTGCACTAGTATCCAAACGGCAAAAGTAGAATGAACTCCCGAACAAATCCACAAAAATGGGCAGTAACTTCATTATATCTTAATTAACAGACTTTTCGATTAAAAAGGAAGTAGTTAAATATTCGCCAGGAAAAGCTGTTGAAAGCTTTCGCAATTGAGTGGCTAAAGGCAAGCCATCCTATGGATAAAACTCCGAAGGTTAATCAAATAACGGGAAGCACGACGTTCCATTATTTTAACTCCAGTTATGTGCAAGCTTCACTGAAGTAGAAAGTATCACAATTCCAAAAAGATTGTGATACAGTCACTCCTAGTAGCTAGCAGCAAATTGAAGCTCTGAGAAGAATGTGAAGCTTCCTAGAGAATGAGGAATGAATGGAGTAGAAGGGAAAGGGTGAAAGGTCGGAATGGAGTAGACGGGAAAGGGGTGAAAGGACGGTTGAGGCAATGTCCGCAATTCGGCGTCTCCACTGACGCGCTCCAATGTAGGCCGATCAATCAGGAGGTCGCGACGTTGGCTGGGCCGATCAATTAGAAGGTCGCGGCGTTGGATGAGCCGGACGAGTAGGCGGCGCCTAGCTGGCAATTACAGCCCATGCGCCCCAATGGCAATGTGGCCGCGCCACTTGACGCCACTCGACTGCGCGTGATCGTATTTCGAAAGTCCCACTGTAGTGTGGAATAGTAGCTGCGTATTGATCTGCCGACACTTGCAGTCGTTGCTGTCGTCCGACAGCAGCAGTCGGACGACAGCAACGACTGCAAGTGCCGCAGATCGATACGCACCCAATACTGTGCGACACTTGCAGTCGTTGCTGTCGTCCGACCGACTATGCGTCCGGCCTGAGGGCGCGAATTCCTAGGTTTCAAATTCTCATTCTTTGGTTTGTCTGGCTTCGTTTTTTGTTTACCTTTTTGATCTTAGTTTTCCTTCCTTCCTAGGCTTATGAATAGGAATATGGGAAGCTGACGGCCTCCAAGGTCAAGCCTGAGGGGAGGAAGGAGGAAAACTCCCCCTCAGGCCTTAACATTTAGGGCGACCCGTCAGCCGGGTGAGGGCACGTGGTGTGCGCGCGGTGCATTAGGACAGAAAGCGACGTTTTCGCATTTAGCAACGCGAAGCATTCTTCGCTGCGGAACCTCAGGTCCACCGCTGATCATCAGTGGACGCGATGTTTCGCGCAGCGAATCATCAGCGGACCTGAGATTCCCGCAACGAACAAAATTTCGCGCGTTGCGAAACGCGAAAGTCGCTTTCTGTCCTAATGAACCACACCTCACTGGATGACAGATTGAACTAGATATTTAAATTGCGTAAAGGGGGGTCGTACTATCAATACCCCTTGAAAGGGAAAGCGGGTCGTAAAAAATTTGGATTTTGCGCAATGCAGGGTTGGCCTTGCTCCCACCCAATGTTTGTCTTTGTCTCAGTTTCTTAAAAGGAAAAGTCTCTCACTAATTCTCGTCTCTTCACTCACTAAATTCAGGAATCTTTCATAATGGAAGGTGACAAAGCTACTCCGCAGCCAAAAACGCATGCTAACTCTCGGTCAAACATACCAAGGCCGACTACTTATAAAGGTAAGCGTGTATCTACAGTTTCAACATAAAAGCTTCCTTTAGTCATAAACTGAATAGAAACACAAGTCGGGTAATTATGTGTACCGTCCTTTGATCCAAAAGAAAAAAGTTATCAACGAAAGTTGTTTCACCGAACACTTTTGAGGGGCACTGTACAACACAATGACGAAGAACCACACTGGTCGCGCTTTTTGCTTTTGGCCACGTGTGGGTGCAGCCGGAAAGTCATCTGAAGAACTAATGAATTCATGCAAGCCTGACTGCGACTGCCCACCATTCAACATTGTGAGATGCACGATTGAGGCCAGTGTTTCGACACTTGTATAGGGTCACATGCTTTCATAGAGATAATGCGGGATAGTGAACAAGGCTTGCCTCCACGGGTGTGGTACATGATTCTCCGATTTTACCTTTATCATACAAAATTACTGAGCTGAAGCAAGCAAAGTTGGTATGCTCTAAAGAGTATCCCTGTCGAGATGTATGCATTCTAGTTCCACAACCTGTATCTGCCACTGTTCAAGCAGCACGAAACCTTAAGCGGAGGAGCATCGGACATCTGAGCAAACCGCCTTCCTGCACACCTGCGAAAAGAACAGCTCTTTCAACTTCGGCCACACCAAGTTCATGTATGCCGTTCTTATTGTTCAAATCGTGTATGACATATGCTTATGGGCAAGCTGTTTTAGCCGTTCTTTTTCAGTGGCGAAGCCTCTTCCCGATTCAATGAGAACCGGAAGAGCAACGTTGGCAACGCCTGGAACTGTGCCTCGATACCTTCAAACAACAGCTGCAACTGCTCGACGCACTGGCATGGCAAAAGGCACGCGCCCCGGTTCTTCACAGAATCAGACTGCCCCTCCAAGTTAGTTTTATCTCCGAATGCTTTCGTTTTGGTGTGGTCGACAGCTGCATCTAAGATTTTGGCTTGCAATTTTCTAGCTCGTCGATCTGCATCTACTCCTCGCGAAAGCGCGGAAGTTATTGCAATGAGAACGAAAATTGTCCAGCTGGAGGGGGAGGTAGATAAATGCAAGGCGGAATCGGAACTTATCAAGGTATTAAACCGCTGTTATAGGAGATTATTGCTTTCATCTTTGGTTCTCTAATGATCCCTTTCAGAGTCAGTTGGATATTAAAAGATCAGAATTTGGAAATGATGCAGGTTTGTAACATCTCGCTTAGTTCTCAGGTTTTTAGTACATTGTTTTACGTTTAATTATTTCAGAGTTCGTTAGAGTGTTTCAAACAAACGATCACCCTCAAAGACTCACAACTAAGCACTATCCAGTTGGCTCTAGAAGCAGAGAAGGGTAAATCAGCGATGATGCAGGTTGAAATCGATACGGTATGTTGTGCATGATTTGCTACCACCCGATGGAAAGCGTACCACTTATCGCTATCCCTTTTCTCTCTAAAATTATGTAGCTTTTGCGGGAATTTCAATGCTAGGCCCACCCCGCATTCGACATTTTCATTGAGTATTATTCATCATTTAAATTTTTCAGAAAGGTTCCAAAATCGCTCAACTAGAGCATGATTTGTGTGAGAGGATGGAAGATATTGGTCGTCTGACGTCCCATCTGGCAGCAAAGCGTG